GTTAGCGCTGAACTCTAACTCGTATTTCTGAACAAAGTCACATTGAACTGAGCACTTAAGTCGCTCTAAAGTACAAATTGTTGGCCAAATATTTAATGTGAATAAAACAGTTAACCCGTTAAAAATACGTGAACAGTAGAAAATTATGTGTTGACGTTGCAATTTATGTGTCACGTCGTTAGTTATTTATCGATCTTAAATAACGTGAAATGAGGCCTCGAATTTTTATGTTCTGTATTGTTTGGTGTCAGTAGTGAGGCTTATATAGTATTGTGTGCTAGTAGAGATGAGGTGTGAAGAGTTTTGATGTACCTTCTTCTATCTGTTAATTACGCTAATTTATTTTATACATTCATTTTATGTTATAGATTTTTTTTATGATATGCAGGTATTATTTGGCTAAATTCTCAACATAGAATTTCCTAGAAACGGATGTCTAAGGTGTCGAAGAAATGTCTTAAGGAACAGCCCTCAGATGTCCACTGCTACCACATTAATACTTTAGCCATTCTATCACTGCATTTCTCAACGACTCCATAAATTGCAGGTTCCCAAAGTAATCGCATTAATTATTTTATTTCCTTCTTCCTTTCTTCACTTATGTCCCTTGTTTCCCGAATTTAGACAAAATTATGTTTTAGTATTAATAGTTTTCTGGAGGATTATTTTCAAACAAATACCCCAAAAATTACCCATTTTGATTTGTAAATGTTGGTTTTAACACAGTTTCAATATTTTACGCGATTGAAGGAAACGCAGGTATCAACAAAGCAATCACAATCAACAGACAGGGGTAATGGAAAATCAATCATTTGACGTAAAGAAAAAAATTGAATGTAATAAAGAAATGACCTTATCAATATTACAAAAACTACAATCTACATCAAAATCATTAGCACATTTTCTACCTTTGTTCTCGCGGCTGTGAGGATCAAACAACTAGTATTTACCATCACTAGCCTTCAAAACCATTGATAAGAATTTTGCAAGAACTTCAGTTTTATAACGTCCAAAAATTTACTTATTTCAGCTTTAAGGTTGGGATCTCGCAACATGTCATCAAAAGTCCCTGTACTTAACTATTATTGTACAGGGTTTGAAAATTATTTGCATTTAATATAAATTTTCTTAGGACTTCATGGGCAGCAAGAAAAGGTTTTACGTTCTTTTACAAAAACAATGTTTCCAGTAAAATATCACGAATTATATTTCCCCCAATTAATTAGGATATTAGGTAATTAAGATAATATCAATATTACATGTCCAAAACTCTCACTTTTTTATGAGTAACCCAATGAAACAGCAATTATAAGTGCACTGTGTATTGAGAGCACTTTCTTCATTTTACACCGTTTTGACTAATATTGTCCCAAAAACTATTATCATAAACGGTTTTTTTATTTGTTCATTTTGTTGCATCAACTTAAAATCAACGCGTCTCCAAGCCCCTTGAGGGCGCTGAGCGCTTCGTTCTTTTGGAGTAATACTCCATTAATTATTTTTGCGCGGGAGTTATCCTCCATTAATTAACATAGTCCGTCACGTTTCTTCTCAGTCAGTTGTCAAGAGGACCGCCAGATAACATCTTCGCGTACGCGCCTCTCTTACGCGCTCCTGCGTCACTACCCAGCGGCCAGAATTGGGAAGGAATTAGGAAAGTGTTTAGGACGCTTCTCAGGGGTTGGACTACCCCTATGAAGCATGCAAACTCGTTTTGTTGAAACAAATCACACACGAGGCTCTACGGGGATTCTACAGGAATTGAACCCGGAATCTTAGTGGTTAAAGGCAAGCAACTTCGCCACTGAGACACGAAACCAACTGCAATGAGATTAACTTCTTTATTCGAAAAATTTAATGTCTAGTTATATACTTCTTCCATTTCCCACCAGCAAATAATTCCATCATCCTTACTGAAAATTATTTCATGAACAAGACAGAACTAAGAAACTTATGTAATGACACATTTATATTAAAATTAGCAGTTAATTAAACATAAATAATATTTATAGGCAGTTAGAAATCCACGAAAGCAGCACTTAAAATTAATTCTTAAACATGAACATTGAGAATTAATAAGTAAAACCTTAACTACCAAGTACAAAACTGACTTAAAAATTAATATATTACACAAAATAAATGGACGAAACTCAGAAATTATAATTTGGTTCAGAATTATATATTAATATTATATTTATACTTTTATATAATATGTTAATTATATATAATTAATAATATAATAATATATTATTAAATATAATTATTATATTATATTTTTATATTATTTATATATTTTTTATTTTTATATTTAATAATATTTTAAAGAAATGCTGAAAAGCTCAAACATTTCCTCGAAAGTTCGCTACTTCTTAGATCAGCATTGGATGCTTCACTGAATCAGAATTACCAAAAAAAATAACACCTAGCAAATACACTCATTGCTAAATAACGCTTTTGTAGGCATCTATGAAATGCATTTTATTACTAAGATGTTAATAAAAAAATTAAAACACTTTAGATTTTCCTATTCTACGCTGCCAAATTGTCTGAAAAACCTTAAAATATTATGATTGTTACCACGTTGCTGTCGCATTTTTTTATAAATTTGAGACGGACAGACCGAACAGAAGTTTTGCCGTCGATCTATTTCTCGATATCACGGACTCAACACTGATTCTGGCTACACGTGTTGGAAAATTTTTTTCTTCATTTAGCTACTAGATTTATCCACTTTTTCGTAACCAGCGCCCCTCGATAGGAGTTTTTCTTCCAAAAATTCGCAGTTTTCCGGCGCAGAAAATAAGAAAAAATTAAGTGTGATCTGCTGATACCTTCATTTTACCGCTACCTTCGACCTGGAGAAAGAAAATGCCTAATTTCTAGCTATCGTTTTAAGCACGAAATAGTACGCATGTATATGCCCCCCCGGGGGCATTCCGTTATCTTTGGCAGTTCCTACTTAATTAAAACTTTCCGGAAAAATAATTTATTTAATAAGTAACTTTCCTGCTTCGCGAAAAAATCTCGTATGTCACTTGACATACTTAGAACCCAGGCTCGTTTTTCTTAATTTTACTGGGAATTATTTAAATTTATAATTGAAAAAAATTGAACGATTGTTGCATGTACTCTCGTTAATATTCTCAACTGTTGGAAAATTTTCGCAGATAAATATATTTCCTTTCAAACAATTTATACACATATGTCTGTTTATGATCCACTCAAAGTGATCTGTTACTAATCACTCAAGTGAATTTTGGTAAGGTTGTATTAGATGGATTAGACCACCACATACTTTCTGCTAGTCAAATTTTAATTAAATCATGATGAATTAGATAAAATTTCCAGTTTTCTATTTAAATGATAGTCTAAAAGTGAACTATCTGCCATTCTACACTAATTTATATTGAGTTCAAATTCAAACTTGGCTTCTTGATAAAAGTAGTGTACATGGTACACCCTCAGATGTCTGGCGGCGGGGAGGAGACTCCTTAACCCCCCTTAAATTACGCTATGCGCTCTGATAGAAATTAATAAAATTTACGGATACGCGATTTTCATGGCTCGCCCCCATACGCTTTGTCCCCGCCGCATTGTAACGCCAATTTACTTTCAAAAGCAAGTTTTTTTCTCGCTTCGCTCGCCCGGAGACAAGTCACGGCGAGGCTCGGGTCTTCGGCCCTCGCGTTCACCATAAACATCCTTGAGTCTATCCACCGCAAATTACCAATTCACTTTTATAAAAAAAAACACTTTTCAAGAAAGCCTCCAGAATTCAAATTGCGCAGTTGCCGCCGGAGAGGAGCGAAGTGCCAGTTTAAACGACTTGCGTAAGTTGCACCTTATACTAGACTTCAGCCAGCTGCTTCGATGATTTCACTATTTAACAAATATGAACACAGATTTCGTACTATGTTCCGACATGCAACATTTCAACAGTCAAATATATTTACCAAATTATTGAAAACCCACCAATGAGCACCAGAGTGTTACCTAATTCCAGAAAATCTTGATGTAATTCACCGTTTCCAACTACACAATAAATCAATATTTACAAGCACTTTTAAATAAAATTCACCTACCTACTAATTTCATATATAATCAAATTTCACAAACTATTTACAAGTAATTACATTATGAAATGTAAGAACCGCCTTTACTAATCCCTAAATTATCTTCCTTAATTTCAGAAATTACTAACAGGTAGGAAAGTTATTCTTATATTAAATTTAAGATTGAACATTAAATAAACGATGCCGTATATTAGTTTATCATTTGTAACTGAATTCAGAAATTATAACAGGAACTTCATCCCCTACTAGATATGCTACTACCGGAGTCTACGAAACGGATTGTGACCTTGGCGTAGTTTCCTTAATTTTTGCTGAACACCGAGTTCTACCGGCATCGTTAATGCAACCGTAAACTTTGTTACACGCTTTGTTATTCATTCAAGTTACCAAAGAGATTAGGGAAAATTGTTTGGTCTTACTTTGATTGAATTCTACGATGCCGTGCGGCAGTCCGAAGTGATGTCTGCGAAAATTCTTCCTCGACACTTCACCATTTGTCCACCTGACAATTTCTGTACTCCTCCCACGTCTCCTCCTCTCGTACAAATTTCCTCCCTCTCTGCAATTGCAAATCGAAAATTGCTTTGGTCACAGTAGGAAATTAAAATGATATCAAAACCAAATGTATTCGTTGGAAAACGAAAAAATGATATGACTTGGAATTGGTTATACGCAGATCTTTATAAATCATTTCCAACTTGGAAGTTTTAGAGATTATAATATTATTATTTATAAATTGAAATACATGAGTAAATGTCAGTGTATTAAATTTTAGTTTACCTGTTATTAGAGCTTTACAAGGCATGTTTGTCGCCTCGTGTCCGTTGCTTCACTTTAGGCTCTTGGCCAGCATCAGTGTACACGATTAGTACGAAAATAACTTCACTGTTCAACTATTGCTGAGCAAATGGTTCGAGTATCTTCAGGCTGTCCTTGCCTTCGACTCACCCGAATCTCACAGCTCATTGGTCATTTCAAAAGATCTCCTTTCTTTTGTCATGGCGCTTTTCTTTTGTTGTGAACTTTTATAATGTAGTTCAAATCTTTGGCGCGATATTCAAACGTTTAAGATTCTGTTAGCTGCTGCATTGCCAAATTAAGTAATCTGTTACAAATTATTTTAAATAAATTAATGAGTGTCTACAAGTTAATTGCATTGACTAATGAAAATATATATAATAAATTTATTTTTAACACTTTACTTCAAATACAATCTTTAACTTGTCACAACACACTCTTCACAAAGATTGAGAATACTGCGCCATGAAGACTAAGAGAGAAGTCCTACAGTGTGTGTCATTCAATTTTATTAATCTTCATCCTTCATGCCGATTGTTGTTCACAAGAGAGAAGTGTTGCGCAGGGTAGCTGGGACACTCCATCTGCAATGACGCCGCTTACCAGGAAAATTGGAGCGGGCCAATTTTATCTCTCATAATCAAAAAGGAACAGAATACCTTCGTGAAAACACATACGAAGGCGCAACTCTGCAAGCGACAGAGTTTTCCGAGAAACGGAGATCTGTATTTATACAACCGATTTGTTGAGGACACGTTGCGCATCTGCATGAGGGTTAACTATTTTTTGTACTACACAACGCATTGCAGTTAAAGAAAGAACAATGCGCCGTTACTAAAAACATCGGTGGTGACATAATAATGTTTATTACTCGCATGGGCTACACAACTAACAAATGAGCTAATAACTGTATGTAGTTGATGCGACTGTAAATAAATCAAATCAAATCAACTAACAATTGAACTGCGAATGTTGAGAGCTATTTTGCTCGGTCAAGAATGTAGATCGGAATGGCGTTTCCACTCCTCCATTAATATCACTATTCGTTTCGTCCTTCTGCTTGTCTTATTGTCATTTCACCTTCCAGTCGCCGTAAGTAATCTCTACTTTCGACAGACGCATTATTTTCGTGTAGGAGAATCGAATTCAATTAATTAAACTAAAAATATGACGCGTCCCAAAGTGAGCAATATCACATATTTTAAAAATTCAATTTATATAGTAAAATCTAATAAATAAAAATAATTAATTTTTGAATTACGGAACACCGTAATTTAAAAACTAATACAATGACAATTGAAAGTAAAAACCTAAATGATTTCATTGTATCTCTTTTTGGGCGAAACATTGGCTATTCGAGTGCTATTCGAATACTGACGAATTCGAACATTTGACGAGTAATCATGGTTAATAGTATAAGTGTCATGATATAATTTTGTTAATTTTTCATGGAAAATAGTGTATGTATCATCACAAATAGCCCTGCATCCTGTAGAAGTGTGTGATAGCCTTGTCGAAGTTTCTAGGTGCTTTAATAGATGGTGTCCTTCAAACTTTTCTGCCCGCAATAATTGACATACCAAGGGCCGATTTCATAGTCGATCCTTAAAGATTAAGGAACTGCTTAAGCAATAAGGAGTTCCTTTGAATGCGGATTGTAGACCTCATTTTAATAGAAAACTGTTGAGTTTCGAGAAACTTTATGACATTATTTAAAGCACAAGTACTCGTGAATACAATAATGTGAACAAATTGCCGCTAATGTAAATATTAACGACGTGAGAGACCAGTCAAAAAATTATATTTTTGTAATTTTTGGAAACAACAAAAGAATATAGCAATAAGCGGTTATGTAATCTTGAGTTTACTTGGCACTTTCCCTAAAAAACGGTTAGAGAAAAAATCTGCAGCCGTTTTAGAGAAAATATTGTTTTGTACTTTTTTTAATTGCAATTATTGCACGTAATATTGCGCGAAAACTACGCAAAGTTTCAAAAAATATGATGACCTTAATTAAAGATGTAATTATGAAAACCAAATTTCATTTGTGGGAAAAATCTCTACAATTTGTGGTTGAAATAAGACGCCGGAGAAAATTTAAATTTTGCAATTTTCAACATTTCAGAGTTAACTGAGAAAACTGGACCAATGCCACCTGAAAAAGTGTATATTGCTCTATTTTTACAATAAAGTTAAAAACACAATTTGGGGCCGTTTTCGAGAAAATTTTGAAAATGTCCGGGGAGCTTCAAGTAAAGTACCCCAAATTTTGAAGAAAGTTTTTCAAAATCGCAGCGCCTCGAGTTGAACCAGATCAACCATCCATATATATCAATTTTGGAAACAATCCAACATTTGATTTAGGCGCTAGTGGTGTTCACAGACGTACGGACAGAGGAACGAACAGACGGACGGAGGGACGGACGGACGAACAGTCAGACAGAGAGACAGACAGACGGACGGACAGACAGACGGACAGTCAGTCAGACAGACAGACTGACAGGCAGACGGGCGGACAGACGGACGGACAGACGGAAGAACAGACGGTCGGACAGATGGATGGACAGACGGACGGACAGACGTTAACACGTTAGGATATGAGTTTAAGAAGTCTCAAAGGAACTTTGTGAAGTTGTAGCTTTAGAGGTGAAATAGTTTTTGAGATACAGCCATTTGTTTTACCCCGTGCACCAAAGTAATACAGTACGGCAATTAGATGTTCGCAATTTTGGGAAAGAATATTTCCCTGTCTATTGTCGCTAAACACATGGAACTCTCTTACTTCTACAACTTGTCTCGCCAACATGAAACTAATATCAGTTTTTCCTTTATTAATACTCTACGCAGCAGTTACAGAAAAAATTCTACGCTTTAACATTGAGTACATGAGTCAATATTCAAGTATATAATTCTTTTTAAATATGAGTAGCTCTCGTGTAAGTCTGCTTGAAATAAAAGTAATTTCCTAATTTTTTAAATACTCTTTTGTGTTCGCTAATAAAAATGACATAGGTTTCATTTTCCGCAAGCTCGATGTCGGAAAATGGCAAAACTGGTTTTTACAATGCATTGCAAGGAGAGACCAATATTGTTTTAAAATTGGCGTCTCACTTCTTTCAGCAAAGACTAGCGTCCATTGACAATTTTCACTGTGGCTTGAGAATTGCTGTCCAGACACATTTGCCTAAAATTTAGACTTCAACTTTATTTATACTGACATTAGAAGCTAGTTTTTATTGAGGATTGTGGAACAAACAATTGGTACACGCAGTTTCACACGTTTGTCAAATCAGCCAAACTGATGACACTTTTGCTCGTTTACAGCTCCTCACCCTGTCACGTGAGAGATGTCATGAGACATTTCAAATTAGTCACATTTTTTAGATGTGCTCTTACTATTAATTAAACTAATGAGAAATACATTCACGCTACAACTGTTAATATTACTTATTATTTAACGGATAAAATGAATTTGCAACAGTATACAATAACAATTTAATGATACATTATCAATTTAATTTTTATTAAATGGTACTCATTTTTTTAACAAATTATATACTAGCCTTCGTCAAAGCCGCCTAACAAAAATATTTTGAAATACCTGGGTACCTGACTTCGATAATCTCAAAACTTTTGTAGATTCTTTGTTTTCTGATGTTATACTCGCATGCATCGCTGCAAATTTTAGTAATAAATGTTAGTCGAAATTACACTCACAACTGGGGTAGCCAACAGATCTCACGCCCCCTATGGATGCCGAAGTTGTGCGTTTAATGGAGTAGATACTAAGCGAAAGACGTAAGAAATGTAACAAACATAAACGCTAATGAAGAGATTGAATAAAAACAGACACTTCGTCACATCGCAAAGCACTAATTAACAGCTCCACACTGCGACAGGACTTCCGAGTGGTACAATACAACAGGGCAGCGAACGCACAAGTTAAAAGTTGAGCTGTTTAACGCGCCCACTTTGCGAGCAGTGGACCCAGGTAAATAGTGCCGGCTCCCTGTAGGGATGGACGCGCTGGGGGCACGTGCCGATGAAAGCGATGGGCGGG